TACCATAGCCTTCACTCTTTCATACATGCTCTTTCATACACTTGGCTGTAATCATGGTCATTGTGTACAAAAAGCGGGCTGCTTTGTTTCTCTTTTTCTTGATTTTGTGTTCTGTCAAGTCCGGTGCACATCAGAAGAAGCTTTGCACAATTATTTTTCTTGCTGAAAGGAATGGACTTAGATATTTTCAACAATATTTATGGGATCAGCTGAATTTTTGTCTCTATTCTATAAGAAATTTTATTCTCTGATGATCATGCTGGTTATTTGTTTTTATATTTTTCATTTTTCACTCTTCAAAGTTTCTGTATATGTGATGGTTATTAAAATATCAGATTATTTTTGTTAAGTAGGTAGTATGTTATTACCCATATTTTATTGTAAGTCATCCGCTTTACTTGCATTTGCAGAATAATGAAATATTATTTACATGGAATAATTAGCTATGAAATGGCAAGGATATTGAGTCAGAAATAAGACTATGATTATTTGATACAAAGAAGAAAAAAAAGAAAAATCTTGTGTTTGTAGTGTATATTTTGATGCAGTAGTTTTGACGTAAATAAAATCTTGAGAGCAGACTTGACTCTGTTGTTGCTGTCATCTCTGTGGTTGGTTACCCCATTGGTGCTTGGTACTTGCACTATCCACAAGAATTTTGTTTTATGAATTGTGTTTATTCATAGATAGCTTTCCCACAAGTGCTTAGTCACTAAGGGGGCAATTAGAAGGACAGTATGGCCTCATTACCCTATTCCTTGAATTTAGTTGTTTTTTTATGCTGATATTATTATTATTGTTATTAATATGATTCTTAATGTCATTATGATTGTTTTGATGTTATTAGCATCACAAATAGGACAGTAGTTTATTTATTTATAATTATTTTATTTTTGTTAAGGAAAAGGGTAATCAGGTGAACTCATTTAGAACTAGTAATTGACTTCTTTGGTGACTAAGTACTTCTGGAGCCATCTATACGTAAACAACATTATGAAACTTAAAAACACACTGAACTGGGCATCAATGGGTTAATTGAGCTACAAATTATCCTATCATATTTGCATTAGTTTTGTTGAGTTTATGCACTTCATATTTCATATTATCCTTTGTTGTATTAACCCATATTTTAGCTTTCCCAATTTTTTAGTTTTACAATATTGATGTAGAAAGTGGGCATGTATCGTTAAAAGTATTGTACAGAGAAATAGCCAAAGAGGTAATATTAAGTGTGCTTTTTCCTTTTGTTGATAGTAACCATGAAAGCATGCTTTGTGTCAAAATTAAAAGTCACCTATGTATATTTGTAAATCTTAATTTTTATGATGTCACTTTATTCACAATTTGATTGGTCTGCTTTCCATTCCAGCTTTTTTTTTTTTTTGGCACATGATTTAAGAGTCAACCAATCACACGTGATGATGTTTTGATTTTAGCTTTTCCTGTTTTGATGTTTTCCATGCTTTCAAGAATGGACCTTACGAATGCCTAGCTTGACGTAGCTTCCACAGCCCAGAATGGTAGAGTGTGCATGCTCTGCTAGTCTAAGGTCACCATGTTTTGTTTTTTCCATTTTCCTTATTAACCTATGCACCTCTTTTTTTCTTTTTTTTGTTTCTCTTATTTCAGGACAAAGCATCTTGGCTTCAGTCAGTACAATGTGTAGGTTCCTAGTATGTTTTTTATCATTATTTTGGTATTTTTTCTTGTATGTTTTTGTTTTTTAAGCTCTCTTTTTTAAACTATGGAGCTATCCAGTTATGTATCTTCTTTTTTGGGGGGACCTTTTCAAGGACAAATTTCAGGGTGTACACACTTCAGGTGAACAGTCTTCCATACTTGCATTGTGAATTAAACTGGATTCAGAATACTTATTAACTGTTCTAAAGCAAACATATTAATAATTTTGCTCTGTAAAAGAAAAGATTTTATTTGAAAACTATCAGTAGTTATAAGTTGCTTGTATACCTGTCACTGTTAAGCATTTTCAAGCTAATGTTATTGTGTATAAGTCATTATACATGATTATTGATTAACATTCAGAATCGTCGTATTTAGATTTTCTTTCGTCTTTTATTTTTCACCTAAATATAATTACCCTATTATGAAAGCATATTTCATAGAAAGGTCTTTGAATAATTGAATTCTGAAGTCTGGGAGACTGATTCAGGGATAAACTGCATGTTTCTTATGTAAGGGATAATAGATATGTTACATTTTCTTGTATCTCTTGTACTTCTTTTACATTTTATTGCACAGTAAATCTATTTGGCAGAGTAAGGTTGACTTCCTATATTGACTTCTTATATGAATAGGTTAGGTGGTGGTGGGCACCATGATCTAATTTCAATACAGGAATTCTCCTTCCTCTTCTTCAATTTCTTCAGGATTGTAGTCTGTTAATAGTAAATTGAATATGTCACTTTTTGTGTATTGTGTTTGAAGTTGAAATTCATGTAAAAGAATTTGGGTTAGAATCAGATTAGGAGGAGATACATTTAAAAGTGATTTGTGATAAATATACTTGAGTATTGATTACAGTACATAGAAACAGATAGTAATATTGTAAATAGAGATTAATTAAAGATCTAAAAGGGGCATTGCTCCATCTTAACTGATTGTCCACACCCACTACCTTGAACAGGTGGACACAGATCTTCTACGGGAAGGACAGCGACATGGGCAAGATCGCCGGGGAGAATGACTCTGTGAGCTCTTTGGAGTTCAACACGCACATTGACAAAGGGCTGTTTTCGTGGATTCCGGCCCTGTTCAAGATCAAGTGAGTGCTTTGAATGGTGTCATGGTTGGTTGGTCCATTTTGAGGTTGTTATGGTTAGATGACGCTATGAGATAAAAAAGTTTAGGTTGTGTGTATTTTTTATTTAATTGATTTTATAATTTTAAGATATGGTTTTAATTAAAGATGTTAATTCATTCTGAGCATATATTTAGCTTATAAAATATAATTTCTATCAGTTCATTTCCTCTATCCTCTACTCTGCTCTGCACTTCTCTTCTGATCTTTTCTTCCTTCCACTCCCCCAAACTTTTTCTAGTCCACTGCAGTACTAACATCCTCCCACAACCTCTTCCATTCCTTGCAGAGATGAGCAAATCCTAGCAAAAAGTGGTAAGGACGCAGTGCAGTACCTGTCCTTCCAGTCACACATCATTGTGTACATGATGATTGTGTGCGTCATCAGCATTGTGATTGTGCTGCCCATCAACTTCCAGGGGACGCTGGAGGGGGGTGAAAAGGAGTTTGGCCACACGACCCTGGCTAATCTTGCGCCACAGTAAGTGTTCCATGGTCCTTTTTGTCTATTCTTTTGGCTTGTGTTTGGAAAGAGGGAAGGTACATGAAGGAGCGCATTGGCTGGAGAGCTATAGTTTGAGATTAGGGTTTGAATAGATTAAAATGGAAGTAAATGTGGTAATTTGGTTTTGCTTTACTTGAATTTAGGAGAACGAGGGCTAGAGTTAATTTACTACTCCCTTGAAGGCAAGACTTGTGTTGAAGTTATTGTGTGTGAGAATAAGATTAAGGAAAAATTCAGCCACTTTTTAAAGGAACACAAATGGGTAAGGAGAATGTTAATGAAAATTGATCTATATCCCACCTCTCATAGGAAAATAAATTAAAGTCTTACAAGTTTGGAAAAGTATTTGGATATTAAAGCTTTTATGAGGGTAATGACATCTGTGTAACTAATTCCTTGTCCTTAGTCACGGCTTTGATGGGTTCACGTGACGCTTGCTTTCCTCTTTCTCCCGCTTGGCATCTTGTTCACGCGGCGATTCTCAAAAAAGCTGGAGCTGAGGGAGGTGGCCACCACTGTCTCACGCACCCTCATGATCACCCACGTGCCGAGGAGGTCTTGCCACAAAGACACGCTCCTTAGACACTTTCAGTAAGTTGAGAGAGAGATAGAGACTGAGAAAGAGGAAGAGAGAAAACATAAAGAGTATGATATTTATATTTTGGAAAAATGAAGTGAACTATGGTTACATTTCATAGTGCAACATGTTGATATCGTGCATTCATTCCATATGTGTGTTTTCTTGTTTTATTTTGTTTGTTTTTTTTAAGTGTGTATTGAAACATGTCTTCTGTGATCATACTAATTTTTCTTTCCTTTTACTTATTTCAGGGAAGCTTACCCAGATGTAGAGGTCACAGATGTGCAGTTTGCATACAACATTCGGTCACTCCAAGCTTATGCAAAAGAAAAGTAAGATAGATTGATATTTTCACTTTTCCTTTTATATACTAGGGTCTGTGCCGGAAATGCGGTAAATTTCTCCAAGATGTTGAAAAAAGGAAAATTAGGTATGGATACACACTAAAATCATTTGTGTGTATTTTTCTATTGTGATGTGAAAGAAACAAAAATGTATTATAATGTTAATATGTTATTAGGTTTCATACCCAGTATTATGTTTATTTACATGATAAAGTGACCAATTCTTTTGTGGAGAATGCCTTAGTATGAGAGTTAGCAAAAGCAGTCAATATCATAAATGGCAAAAATAGTTGTGAATTGTGTGACAACAACTGTATGCTAACATAGTTGTGAATTGTGTGACAGGTCTGTATGATTATACATTATTATTGTCTTTTTAATGCAGCTAAGATCAAATCAAAAGACCTCAGAAGATAATTTTTTTGTGGAATGCAGAAAATATGAGTACTTGGATAAATATTATAGTAACTATCTTTTTTATGGAACCTGCAGACTGTTGCAATCCTAGTGTGTGTATATAGATAGATAGATAGATATTTGTGTATTATTTTTTTTTTTTGTATTTTTGTTTACATATTTATTCATTGTTAAAATCTTGTTTTATAGGGAAGTGGCTCATAATGCAAGGATATACTGTGAATCGTACATGAAGGAGACTCACAGACGCCTTGATATGAGACCATACAAAGGAGGTGTTGTGTGTGGCTGCTGTGACATCTTTGGCTGTCCGACGGTAATTTGGTTTCCAAAATTCTAGGCGTGATACTTCCAAAGGATGTTTCTCAAACAAAGAGAATATTTGATGTATTTGCATTATAGAATTCCATTATGACTGGGTCACATATACAGAAACATGCTTATAGGAGACAAGAGTAACTAGCACAACAAATTAATGATATTAGATTGAACTACTTTTTAATTTTGTACTGGTGACTTCCAACCCCATGAACAGGTGGATGCCATTGAGTATTACACGGAAGAGGAAAATCGCTTGGCCAATGAGGTGGAGAACGAAAAGCTGAAGGCCCTCCAGAGGCCAACTGGTGTGGCATTTGTAACCTTTGATAGCATAGAGAATGCCAAGAGAGTCCTCCAAGACCACAGAGCAAAGTGCGACTGCTTCTACAGCCCTCCCACATCCTCTGCCTCAGTTGATCTCAAGCCACACAACTGGATCATCAGGGTTGCTCCAGTACCAGATGATATTTATTGGTGAGTTCATGCAGGTGTGGGGGCAGAGGGTATTTTTTTTTCTTTTTTTGTTGTTAGTATTATTTTTATTGTTGTTGTTGTTGTTATCATTATGATGATGATTTATTTATTTTTAATCTAACTGAAACCACCTCCCTTCAGGCACAACCTGTCCGTCACAACGCGTCACTGGTGGCTAAAGGCAATTCTGATCAACATCATGTTATTTGTAGTGTTGTTCTTCCTCACAACACCTGCTGTTATCAATGTCTGGAAGATATTGTTCCCCTCACTGGGCGACTGAAGCAAACATGGTGAGACGATTTCCCAATGTTGTTGTTATTGTTTTTTCTTTTTTCTCCAGTCTTCATTCAGTCTTACATCTATATGATATGATGTTTACACAAAGGTATTTGTGAGGGAGAGTGTTTGTTTGATTTGCTGAGAATGAAGGCTATAAACGAGGTGGGATTCAGTTTTGGGGAATACAGTTGGGAGAGATTTGCCAAACAGCACCAGCATTACTTCCTCAAACTCCTTACCTCCTATTGACAGAAAAAAAAGAATGACAGAAAGAGGAAGAAAAAAGCCTGCCATTTTTTTTAGAGATTGTTATCTATTGAGTATAGATATGCTATAGGGTTAATTGATACATGCATGCATTATTATTGCTTTAATATTGTATTATTAGTATCTTTAGTTACAGATATTTGTTGATATTTGATAATCATTAAAAAAAAAAAAAAAAAAAAAATCATCATGTATATATTTTTCCTTCCCTTAGAGCCCAGTGCTGTCAGAGTTCTTGCCCACTTTGCTCCTGTGGACTATGGCTGCCCTCCTGCCTGTGATCGTGTCGTACTCGGACCAGTTCATGTCTCATTGGACGCGGTCTGCTGAAAACCATTCCATCATGAGGAAGACCTTTGTGTTCCTTCTGTTCATGGTCATTATCCTGCCCTCTCTAGGACTCACCAGGTGATTACCAAGGGGTAGAATCGTTATGTGTCAGATGCATTAGTCGTTTCTTCACTTTTTTGGAAGATTTTTGTTTTCTTCCTCTTCTTCTTTAAGTGGGTTTCTTCTGGTTTTGATTCCACTTTACTTTTTTTCTTCAGAGCTTTTGGTATTTTTGGTATTTTTCTATTTTCTTTTTATTTTATTGTTTATCATCTGTCATACCATTAAAGGAGTTAGATGTTTAACTTGCTTCCTCCAACAGTTCCAGTCTTTAGTTCCCTCCACTCTCTTCATTTTGGTCAAGTCTTCAGCATTTTTTCTATGGGTCTACAGATCTGGGCATTACAAGTTGTCAAGAAATCATTCTTTCACATGCTTATCTTTGTTAGTTAGTTCATAAATAATGCTGTCATCATTATTGGAAAACCAGAAGTGTATTGATCTTGTATTTAGTTATTCATTGCAATTTATAGCCACAGTATTCATAGCCTTGATATCATTAATATAAAATCATCATGAAGTTATTTTTTCTCTTCTCAGTGCTAAAGGTTTCATGGAATGGCTCATCCAATCCCAGTCTCAGAACGAGACCTTCCGCTGGGAATGTATCTTTCTCCCTGATAATGGTGCATTCTTCGTCAATTACATCATCACCTCGGCATTCATTGGAACATCGCTTGAGTTGATTCGATTCCCAGAGTTGTTTATGTACATGGTTCGGCTTGGGCTGTCAAGGCAAGTATTTCACTTTTAACTTTTTTTCTGGTCTTTCATTTCTGTCTGGATGAACTTTGGTAGCATTTTATGAATGGATTATTAAATTTGAAATGTAATAGTGGATATCGCAAATTATATATTATATCCAATTCTATGTTTGTGTATGGTTCATCTATTTTTTTTATACTTGAATTATTTCAAAAGATTAGATTCATATTCAGAATTTCAAAAACCTGCCCCTAGAATTTTAGTAATGAAAGGATGATATAATTTTTTTTCTTTCTTTCTTTCTTTCTTTCTTTCTTTTTTCTAACTTACTATAAGTACTATCATATCTACTCTTGGATTGCAGATCCGAAGCACCGCAAGCGTTAGAAACTATCTCTAGTTTTTGGTGTCCGCTATGCTACTTATTTTCGCCATGACCATCATTTACTCTGTTTCCTGTCCTCTTATCACACCTTTTGGTATGTATTTCTTCTTGACATTGTAGGAAAAAAAATAGTTGTCAAAATGAATCTGTTTGAGAAAAAGCTTTAGTGATTTATTTTTTATTTTATTTTATTTTATTTTTATTTATTTATTTATTTATTTGTGTGTGTGTGTGTGTGTGTGTGTTATTATTATTTTTTTTTAATTTAGATATTTTGCACTCTTTTTCTTCATGTGAAATAGAGAAATGGATATTGTGAGATCTGTGCTATGATCTGGAATCAAAAGAAAAATTTGTAATGTCCTCCTCATTGCTACATTAACAGTGCTTATTTTTGCAGCTGCCCCTCAACAGGCTTATATCAGGATTATGATCTTTATTTCATAATGAAATAGCTGATGAACTTTTCTTCCAACAGGTACTCTGTATATGATCTTCAAACACCTGGTTGACAAGTATAATATATACTTTGCCTACGGACCTTCGAGAATTAACAAGAACATCCATACCTCAGCCATTAATTTTGTGATAGTCTCGATTGTTTGTCTGCAGTTAAGCCTGCTGTTCTTCTCTCTTGTGAGGCAAGGGTTGAAAAAAGATATAACTATATACAGCATTATTTTGCTCATTATAACATGCGTTGTATTTATCACACACAATGCATTCCATTGGTTCAAGGATCTCAGCCCAGTGGAATACAAGGTAGGTTTTCTATGATTTATATAAGACTTGTTGGTTTAGAATATTTGTGGAACAACAGCACAATTTAAGCTCAACATATGTATGGATTTTATTTGTTAAGAGTATTGATGTTTCTCTATCATTCATTACATACAGAAATTTGGAAATGGAACTGCCAATGGAGATACTGCATCAGTCAATGATGATGAAAGCACAACAGAAGTGGCATGCCAGTTTGTGCCAGCAGTCTTACGAGATGCTCCTAGTGGAGTGGAGAGCAGCTATGACTACATAAACCAGCCGCGGAGCTATGGGACACGGCCCAGAGATGAAAACGGGCTGACTAACGAGGCAGCTGTTAGGAGTGATGAAGATAGCCCGCGGCCCAGACAATCTAGTCTCTATCAAGATTATTCCCATGCGAAGGTGAGTCATCAGAATTGGGTACTTTTTGGGGCATCCTTATGGTTAGCACTGACTTTTACGTAGTATAACTATGTATAGATATACTCTTTTGAGTGTTGTCCCTTTATAGATACTTTTGTTAAGCACAGATTCTTATTTTGATATTTTCTGTGTGGGGTCTTTTTATAGAGGGGGGATTATCTTTTCTTGTTTTGCCATGCTGTAGTGACATCATGCTGGCTAGGAAGGGAGTGCACTGTCTAGGATTGCACATGTTATTAATGAGTGAAATGTGCTTGGAGTTTACTTTGATTTATGTGATGGTACTGTTGATCAATCCTGACTTGATTTGCACAAAGTTTTTATATGAACTTCTTTTTACATGAAGGTGCAGTTTAGTTTCATACTTTTGTATGCGGTGTTAATTGCTGGACTTGGAATAAGTGCCTAATGTAACATTTTGCATGCCAGAAGTCAGTAAGTAACAGGTAAAGACAGTGTTATTAACAGCAGATATATATAAGCTGATGTTTTCTAATCATTTCAAAATGTTATACTGTTCATACACCTGCATGCCCACTGATATTCAATTAGTGTCTTTAAAAAAAAAAAAAAAAAAAAAAGTAACAATTTTTGCCAAAGTCATTGCCTCTTGTGTTTATGCTCATTTTGATGCACTCAGATCTATATGTAATATGCCTTTCCTCTCTCTTAAAGCACACAAAGAGATGCCATGCAAAGTCCCTTTATATTTTCCATTTGTCTGAAGAATGTCATATATTATATTAGAATCTGAATTCCTAAGTTATAAAAAGATGTTTTGGGCATGTTTTTTTTTTGGTTGAGGTCATGGGGGAACATATAGGGTAATCAGCCCTATAAAAACAAATCTTACATGAAATGCAAATAATTACTTATGTAGGACTTGCTTTTATTCAGCTTATACTAAAAAAATATATATATATTTCTTCAAGAAATATTGGATATAATTTGCTTTCTTCTTTTGACTGGAATTTCCTTGTATATATTTCTAATGTCACATACATAAATTTTTGAGTACATGTAAACATGTTTAGGTCATAGTAAAAACTAATGTTTTTACTTTTGTTTAGTCCTGTTGTGAAATTTTATCCCAAGAATTCTGAGAGCCATTTTGAAAGTTATAAGGTCCTCTTTGCACAACATCTGGCCAAATAAAACAGCACCTTTTGTCTTCTAAATCTCCATCCCTTCCACATCCATTAGCACCTTGCTGCTCCAGTGTTGGTACAGTAAATATTACCGAAGACAGTTTCAAGGATAATACAGCTAAGGGGCAAGGGCAAAGGTACGTCATGTTTGTGGTTGGCGATGTGCCAGTCGCTGGTTTTTGGCTATTCTAGGTGCGTTTTTACTGCTATGTTCCTTGCTTCATCTCTAGAAATTGCTTGAATTCTTATATCCACAAGAGGGACATTGGTAGTTATTATATTGTTACTGTATTGTAAATATTGATGATTATTATCATTTTTATTACTGATTTATTTATTGCTATTGTTAGTATCACTATTTCCTCACTGCAATATCTGATTGGCACTGCATAATCGGCAGAACAGTAGTAAAAACCTTTAAATTCATCCTCACAATGTTTGAATGCATTATATTCATAAAGCACAGCAAATTGATAGCTTTAGCACTATTCCAGATCTGCTTGCTTTCAGTTGCACCTTCAGTACATATAAATGTAAAAGAATTATCTGAAAAGGATAGAAAGGAGACTCAGAAACACAATTTTTTTAAAAGTTCATTTATTTCATTCCTATAAACCAGAAAATTGAGTTGTTTGTGCTAATCCAATGACCATGGAATCATGTAATGTTCACTCTAGTCTTGTTTTGTGTCTTTTCACATTGATGGCTCCACAAGTGCTCAGCCACCAAGGAATGAGTTAGAAGACCTATGTTGACCTCATCTAATTTCCCCTTTTTGTGAGGGTTCTTTTCCTAATGCTATTAATATTGATGCAGTTATTATTATTATTAACATTACGATTATTGCAATGTTATCATTAATAACAAAATGAAAAAATCTTTATGAAAATCAAAGAAAAAGGTAAACAGGTGAGATAGGTAGTACTGATATGTGACTCCTTGGGGCCTAAGCACTTGTGGAGCCATCTATGCATATACACAATTACGAAATTAAATACACAGTGGGTATGGCATGTAATACATGCCACTCCCATCGGCAGTGGGTTAAGTTGAGCAGGTAGTCATCTTTACACTACTGGAAGAAGCTGGATTAGAGATAAGAAAAATTGTCGAGTGGAATATTTGTTAGCTCATTTTCTTTTGATGTCATAATTTTATGGGTGGATGGTAGGGAGTTGTTAGGTTGCAGATATGGGTAGAGTAAAAAAACAGCATGTAGTTAATTTCTTGAAAAAATACATTTGTGGAAACTCCTATGACTTAAAGGGCAGCAAAACAATCGGAATAGGGAGGCCTTTGCATTTTGATGATCCCAAATATGCCCCATGCCCTTTTTTGAGTGGTTTTAGTTAGAAATTAACCCTACTCAGATTGGTTGATGCGTCTTATGTATGTTACCACAGTGAGCAGAATACTACCACCAGTCTTCACATAATTATGAACTTTCATGATATAACTAAAGAATATTGATGGTGAAGGGAATCAATCACAGTTCTTGTTCCTCAAAAGTAAACTCTGGATCAAAGGGCATGTATATTATGAATGGTTTTTTTGATATTTAAAATGTTTGTAATTGGTTTATGTTCTGTATAAATATGATTCAGTGCTGAGTAGGAGCATATTATCTTGCCATATCTTGAAAATGTAACAAATTGGCTTTGGTAGAACAACATACTCTAGGAAGTTTTTTAATGAGCAAGAGAACATAGGGTTTAATAGCAATGCTGAAATCTTGATGCACACAATTACACTGATGCGCAACTCATTTCTGTTGTATTATTGTAAGGAATGCATTATTTTGAAACAGTATATGATGCCACAACTCCTGGCTTTTATATTCTGTACTATTTAATGTGGGAATTCATGCAAGTATGCCTATACATTGTAGAAAAAGCAACATACGGCTTGTGGCTATTTGCATATTAGGTTTTGGTGTAAGGTATTTGTAATTTGAGGTGATGCTTTACAGAGACTAGTCTACCTCAGTGATCATTTATATGGCTCAAGTAGAGGGTTTTGCACTTCAGTTTACTCTTACTTCCTTTGGGTAAAGTGGGTTTGGCTCACAGTGGTAATGCACTCAAATGTGAAGTCAGGCTGAATATGTTGGCAATGGAGTTAACTTTGTACAAGGGAGCTCTTGATTTTGTAAGAACTTTCTTTCAATTTGTGTTTTTTCTTTGTCTTTCTTTTCAGAGATGGTTTGTATCAAGGACAATTTTTCTGTTTGTTTTTTCATGTATCATGTGGATCTGTTATGTTTAGGTCCAGTATGGTTACCTGAATTTTGGGTTAATGTGTGTAGGTGCCTGGGAATATGTTTTGATGTGCCAAAAATACCATTCCTTTTTGAACACTTTAACTAACTGCACCTCAGTTATATGAAAGATGTATGCCAATTTCTACAAATTCTATTTTCAGCACCTAGATGACCTAGTATAAAGAGTCTTCCTAAAAATAGTTCTGAAGGTAAACTCCAGCTGGGGCAGTGAAAGTGATCTGGTAAACCGTGTGCCGCTTTTGGCTTGGTCTTCTGGCTGTCTGTGCTCTTGTATTCTCTCTGGATTATATGGCTGGTGTAACAGGGCCAAAAAGTAGCTACAACTTTGCCATACAGTAACATATGTACAACATCAGTAATGTCTGAGTAAGCAAAATGAAATGCAGGTACATTGAGGAGGGAAGAGTACACCAAAATCCATGATTTTTTTGGTCAGAATGCTTTACTCCTTTTTAGACTGAAAAAACAAAACAGATTCTATATTTCTTAGTATCTGTTTTGGAGTTTCAGCTAGAAGAAAAGTCTTCTGCTTTGAGTGAAAGCTTCATGGAATTTAGTGACTTTTTCTATTCTTACTGTGACTGCCCTTCATTGCCTTTGCTAGTTGATACACAAATTTAATCATTACCACTTTCTGGTATTGTATTGTATTGTAGATGTATGATCACTTGAATAGCATAGTTGTAGGTAAAATTTGCTAGCCCTAAAAGCTCTGTAATAAGGCCAGTAATTTCTCCTATTATTTCCTTCTATATTGATCTATACTGAATGAGTATCAAGCATATATGTTTTCTGCTGTGCCATTGAAGACAACATATTGAATCCAGCTTTACTGTATCGTTCACTCTCGCCAAACGATATATCTATATACTTTTTTTCCTGCATGTTAAAAAGAATTCTCATATGTGTCATTATTGTCTTTTCATGCATTTCTCGTCTTTGAAGATAAATATGCTTGATAGCCACAATTTGCTGAATTGTATTCTTTGTACATTTATGATATAAATTTTGTGGGTTTTATGAAAATGAATTATGTCGTCTTGGCTTTAGTAAGTTCTCTACATAAAAAACATGTGTGTATAAAGATATATATATATATATATATATATATATATATATATATATATATATATATATATATATATATATATATTATGTATGTATGTATGTATGTATATTATTTGTATATATGTATATATATATATTATATATTATATATATTATATATATATAAATTACACAGTAGCTAATTATTACAATATATAAGCTGTAACAGAACAGAATTTGAGTATTCTTAATTCTATTAGCCTTTTTTTTTTTTTTTTTTTTTTTTTTTTTTTATCTTATCTTTGTTTTATCTTTCATTTATCTATCTCTGTATTTGTTTCATTATTATTTTAATTACAGTCATTATTTAAGATATACAAAGACCTCGAGCAGTCGGAAACTCTTATGGTCTTGCTGTTGTCGAGTTTGTCAGCAGGTTGATGAGTAGACAAAGGCAGTTACTTTATTAATGATCACATGAGTTACCCCTGAGAAATTAAGAAAAAGTGTGATTAACTTTTTATATATTCTTTGCTGTATTTATTACAAACTAAGCAAAGATGTGCATTTATGTCACAAGCAGCCACATAAATACAGAGAAGGGAATTATATGATAGAATAGATTGATATTTACACACGCACCTTAGTCCACTGTAACCTGTCTCAGTAGTCCAGATAAATTAAAAATTTAGTTTGAGAAGACATAGGTTGACTGTTTCACAACAGTGTTCTCTGTAAGATAACCAGACAAATGAATAAGATAAATGAGAAAATTTGATAATGATTGGAAGTGCATGGCATCAGATAACAAATTTCTGTCTTCTTTTTCTGCTCATTTTTGTCTTATATTCCCTTTTTTCTGGGCTTCCAGTTTTGTAGTTTGTATTTTTCTATTTTAGGAACTTTTTTTTTCTCTCTCTCTCTCTCTCTCTCTCTTTCTCTCTCTTATTTCAGTCTGAAGATAAAGCATGAAGGTTATAGAAAATATTTTTTTCTCATTCTTTTTTTACCTCTTGTGTGGGAATGGTTGTCTGAAAAAAGATAGAGGAAAGAAAAGAAAAAACAGGAGCATTTAACGTAACTTTTTTTTTTTCTTTTTTCTTTTCTTTAAAAATTTATTTAATTTTTGCCTTTTTTTTAGTTTCTTCTTTCTTTCTATTTGCATTTTATCCTGTTAGGCTCTTAAAGATTTGAAACGGACTTAGGCAAAGATATCCCTCAGCACGAAATCAAAATTGTAAGTTATCCTTTTGCACATGTAACATTTTTCATCTGATATTACAGGTGACGACAATAAGTGCTGAGATCAACGTACCCCCCTCACAGTCGAAGGGAGAAGAGGAGCAAGAGGAGGAGGAGGAAGAGACTGTGTACACCCGAGCATCCCCCAGACAACCCTCACCAACGGTCATCACTGTCGATGGCACCATAACTGCGCCTGGCTCATCACCGACAACCCAGAGCAACCAAAGACTCGTGTACTCCAGCCTTAGTGACGACAGTGCACCCGCAACCAATGTTTAGGTCTCTTAAGTGCTTCATTGCCACCTAGTGCAAAAAAAAAGGAAAAAAAGGGGGGTGATGAAGAAAGTAAAATAAAGAAAACAGATAGATAAAAACAAAATACATAAGCTTTCCGTGGTTTACTTGTGCATACTGTGTGTAAGTGATATAGGATAGTTGATATTGAATTACTCCCGGGGGGGGAATGGTCCACATTAGGTGTTCACACATGTCAGTCAGGGGATTGTTGGGCTGGGAAGATGCCATTGCTGTTTGATCTGATTGTGTGTTTCTTTTTACATTAGCCATTGATGTTTTAATAATTGTAAATAGGGTTCTGAGGAATGGAGCATTATATATATATATGTATATATATATATATATATATATATATATATATATATATATATATATATATATATATATATATATATATATATATATATATATATATATATATATATATATATATATATATATATATATATATATATATAATATATATATATATATATATATATATATATATATATATATATATATATATATATAAATATATTATATAATGTATACATGTACATATACATATATATATTATATGTATATGTAAACATGGACATATATGTATGTTATATAGGGCTATTGCTACCATCCAGAAAATTATCCCTTTTTCTTAGAAATGAATCCAAAGAAACATTTTTAGAGGTAATTTATAATAGAAATATATACAAGCTCTCTGAACTGCTGTATGTGGTCCTTTTACCTGTGAGGGGTACTCAAAATGAATCTCTACTCTATTATGTTATTTTGTGCTCTTTATAATTCATATTTTAATTCAACAGAATGTGCTTGGCTTCTGACCCATTATTGCTATGCCTTAACTTAAAATGATATTGTATCAATATCTGCCTTTATATGAGTAACAGTGTTAAGGCTCCTTTCGGACTGGGAGTCCACTTAATAGTATTAAAAAAACAAAAAAAAAGAATGTGTAGTTGTGTTTCACACACAAGCGCTTGTACAGAAAGGTTTTCCACAAGCAGAATTAATTCTCTAGGATCTTTAGCAGAAGAAAACAAAAAATTATTGTAATAGACTAAACATAAAATTATTCAGTGCTTGATATTTCTTCCCTGAGTCTTGTTAAATGTCCATTTAAGATTGAAGTCCTTGCACACTTTAGAATAAGGTAATTGGGTTCCTTTCTTCTGATTTTTATTCTTCTAAAGATGATTTATGTGATTTTTTTTTTACAACTATTTATACCTATTTTTATTAAGGTGTCTAGAATTTAATTCATGTTTTTTCTTTCCCTCCTCTTTTTCTGCATACATATTTTCTGCTCTAGAAATGCTCAGTTCCCCCCCCTCCCCAGAAAAAAAATTGTATTGACTGAAAGGCAGCTTTTGCCTCTTTTAGTTTGTTTGTTTGTAAATTTTCATGAAATAGAAATATGTGCCATGACAAGGTGGAAATATTCCAAAAGAATTGTATGGTTAGATTCATTTGTTGGTATCTTTTCTTGTATTTTTAAGCTTAGCAGTTGCTTCCGTGCAGAAATTTCTTGGGTTCTGAACAAGGTCTGTTTGCTCTTTTGTGAATGGTTTTATTGAAAATGTGTGTTTGTTGTGTACAAATGTTTGTGAAGGGTTCTTTGAATGTTTTATTGTCCAGTGAGCCAGCTGCCTCTTTTATTAGTTATGTTACATTTTTCTTTTCTTTTCTTTTCCCTTTTTTTTTTAGGAATCCAGGAATAGCTAGAATTCAGCTTCAAATATGTGCTATGAAGGTTACAGGTACTTCTTCAGTTCAAGGAAAATTGTGATGTAGAATTTAATGAAATAGTCACCTGTTTAGTCTTTTTTATAAGGATTTTTTTTCTTTTTTGCTTCTTTTTTTATAGCACATTTTCTGATCATCACTTTCAAGACTGCAGAAATGGGAATTATGTACTGGAAATGATAGTGGTTCATGTCTACAGGATAAAGAATTCAGTTACAGGATTGAATAGCTTTTATTAACAGGTTTTGTAATTGATTTTTACTGTCGGGAATACCTGTATCTAAATTACAGAGTCTGGATAATCATAAGACAGGAAAAATGAAAAACTGTAATTCTGAATATAAATCCTACTATATGATTACTTTTTTTTTTTTTTTATGATGTATTGATTTGCTTTTTCTTTTTTTCTCTTTTTTTAAATATCATAGAAGTGTGTGAATGTACTCTTTTCTTTCTCATTGTATGGATGTCTTACCAAAATGAATGCAAACTTGTAAATAGTGAATTGATATTGCCAACATTAGTGATAGACTATAATACTGTAAACTGGTAGCATTGTTAAAAGTCCATCTTGTAGGTAATTTCTGTAATATAGCCGTCTCATAAATTCTCACATAGTTAATTTCACTGATTGTTTGAACTTGGTATAGTCACATTCTGAACTGTCAGTGATATGTTCTTAGATTTCTTTTAGAGTCATTTATTTAGATATTCATTGTTATTTCTTTTGCTTTTTTATTAATTTATTATTATTATTTCCTAATAGAAGGCTGTTGGGCTCCCAAGGATAGAGATAAATTAGTGCCTCATCTTTATTTTTTCCCATGTTCGAGTCAAGCAGATTTATATATATATATATATATATATATATATATATATATATATATATATATATATATATATATATATATATATATATATATATATATATATATATATATATATATATATATATATATATATATATATATATATATATATATATATATATATATATATATATATATATATATATATATATATATATATATATATATATATATACATATATAATAATATATATATATATATAATATTATATATAATATATATATATATATATATATATATATATATATATATATATATATATATATATATATATAAATATATATATTTATAACCCTCTCCCCAATATATGTAGTTAGCATTATTTTTGGCCTTAGCATTTAATCTTTTTGCAGTTCGTATGTTAACCAAAGTAGATTTTCCTTTTTTCCCATTTGTCAAGGCTCGTAGAGATAACAAACACGAAGTCAGATTTGTTTTATATTTAGGTAATAAAATTAGTACAGTAATGTATGATATCCAGATTAGATTAAATTGTTCTCATGGGATTTTCTATAAAGAAAAAAAAATTGCATTTTTTGTTTATTATTTATATTTTATTTTTTATTTTTTTCCAAACATTAATTATATAACTTTGCAGATCCTTTTGAATGTTAAAATGAACTTATTTTTTAAGATTTTGCCTGTCTTCCGTACACCTTATGGTACATTTTAATTCTTTTTTGATAAGTTTTGGTTATGTTTTTTTATGTTGTTTTTTGTGTTTTATTTATTAGGCTTTCCTTGTGCCTTTTTTTATGTTGTTTTTGTGTTTTATTTATTAGCCTTTCTTTGTGCTAAGTGCATGAACATGACTATAGAAAATGGGTAGGGGATTAGCCATTTTATAGTTAAAAGATATTGACAGATATTTTAGTTAAACAGAGGCAAGAAGTAGTTAGTGCTAGATAGGTTATCTGTCATAGCTTCGTGGTGTGTAGAAAGCACACTAGATATATTTTCACAGGTGTTTAGGTAGCCTATTTTTTTTTTTTTCTTTTCTTTCTTTCTTTTTTTCTTTTCTTTTTTGCTTGTATTGATAACAGCAGAATATATTTTAATAGCTTTCTTTTTTTTCTAATAGCAGAAAGAGCAGACCTGATATAGCAAATTATAAATTGATGGTTTACATTAAGGATAACTCTCTTACTCATGTCTAATTTCAGGCCTTTTTTATGCTCCATATTTCCTTCCTTCATTCATGGATTTTTTTTTTTTTTTTTTTTTTTTTTTTTTTTCTTTTTCTTTTCTTTTTCTTTTTCTTTTGTTTGCGATTAATCTTCTTCACTTCTCTGTATTAGTTGAGAGAGCATGCATCTTTGGATGTTTTTTTTTTACGTATTCAACTGTGTGAGTGTGAAAGATGTTTAGTTGGAAGCCTTTTTTTATGAATGAATGGATGTTGAATGAATGTTGACAAGTGAAAAATGTGAAGTTTATGACCTCAAGTGATTCTGATATTCTTCTTCTCTTGTTTTTGTCCCTTTTTATTTGTTTATTTTTCTCTTCTTTAATAATTGTAAAAAATTATTTACATACCCAATGGAGGATGTTCCAGATTTCTCTTGTTATTTACTGCTGTCATAATTCATAGAAAAAAGAGAAAGAGAGAAAAGTGAATTTCAAGACTTATTTTCTTTTGTTGTTGTTATCATCATTGTCAGTGTTAGTACCATTTTTTTCTATTTGATTATTATTATTTCATTGTTTATCCTTTTTATATTTCTTAATGCCCCCCCCCCCCCTCCCCTGAAGAAGTGCAGCACAAGAATTACCTTGATGTCCAAGCCTTCGAGATGGACAGTGAATTTAATGACCTCATATTGAGTGTTATGTATGTGGATTATGCAGAGATATGTGTCATAAGATGCAAGCACACACACTCACATGCACACACTCACCCTCACACCCACCCTCACCCTCATACTCCCTCACTTACTCTGCTCTCTCTCTCTCTCCTCTCTCTCTCTCTCTCTCTCTCTCTCTCTCTCTCTCTCTCTCTTCTCTCTCTCTCTCTCTCTCTCTCTCTCTCTCTCTCTCTCTCTCTCTCTCTCTCTCTCTCTCTCTCTCTCTCTCTCTCTCTCTCTCTCTCTCTCTCTCTCTCTCTCTCTCTCTCTCTCTCTCTCTCTCTCTCTCTCTCTCTCTCTCTCTCTCTCTCTCTTCTCTCTCTCTCTCTCTCTCCTCTCTCTGCTCTCTCTCTCGCTCTCTCTCTCTATTCTTTCTCTCTCTCATCTCTCTCTCTCTCTCTTCCTCTTCTCTCTCTCCTCTCTCTCTCTCATACACGCACACAGAGCGACATTCTACACACCACACCTGTATCACTCACCACATATGTATGCGGCATATATACACACACTACCACCACACACGCATACACACACACATAACACACACACATACACACACAGCCACTACACACACACGACACACACACACACACACACACATTTCACACACACACATATAGTAACACATCATATACACACACACACACACCACACACACACACACACACACACACACACACCACACACACACACACACACACACACACAGCACTCTCTCTCTCTCTCTCTCTCTCTCTCTCTCTCTCTCTCTCTCTCTCTCTCTCTCTCTCTCTCTCTCTCTCTCTCTCTCTCTCTCTCTCTCTCTCTCTCTCTCTCTCTCTCTCTCACTCACTCACTCACTCACTCACT